TGCTGGAGAATAGTGCTGAGGATCCCGTGGATGGCCAAAAGGACAAACAAATTGGTCCTACAACAGATCAAACCTGAAACACCTCTAGAAGCCAAGATGTTGAAGTTGTTGTACTTTGGCCACATCATAAGAAGGCAGGATTCACTAGAAAAGACAGTAATGCTAGGGAAGGTAGAAGGTAGTAGAAAAAGAGGAAGAACACACACCAGATGGATAGACTCCACCAGAGAGGTCATGGGCCTGAATTTGCAGGACCTAAGCAGAGCCATGGAGGATAGGGGCTTGGAAATGTCTCATCCACTGGGTCACCATGAGTAGAGGTTGACTCAAGGGCAGTTAACAAAAAAAGAACAACAAACCCATCCAGAGTCAGAATCCCTGGCCAATCTACTTGCAGATCTAATCAGAAATCTATCAAGGAGATCTTTCTGGATCCACCTTCTGCCTTCTCCCACGCTAGGTGACATGCATCCACCCAGGATATGACTCATTGACAGTATTTATCACTGAGCTGGACAGAACATCCAGCTAGTCCCCTTCAGTTATCTCTCCTTGGCTGACTTCCCTCACATTCCCATCAGTTCCAGGACAGGAGCACTTGCAAGTGTTACTTGAGGCTGTGGCAGCTGTGAGATGCGCATCACCTGTATTGCTCCAGCAACCTCACCTGGCTGTTTCTCTTAGAACCACCACAACCACAGCCCATTGAGAGCAGATACAGGGGCCGGGGGGGGGGGGGGGGGGAATTCAGGCTGCTCAGCATGGGCAGACCAGCTAATATTTTTACTCAGAAATACTCAGTTGACAGCAGAAGCGTCACTAGGGTTAGTGTCACCCAGTGCAAGTGGCTGGAAAGGGCCTCCCCTCCTACTGCCTTGCATGCCTGGCTGCACAGTTGCTGGCTGCCAGACCTGGAAAGGACTGCCAGGGAGCTGGGGGGCAGCAGGAGGGGGTAGAAGGGGCGTGCACCCATGCTTCCTTCTCCAATGTCTTGGCTACCTTGATGGAGAGAGTCCAGGCAGCGGAGAAGCTGGAAGGGGTGTATGCCCATGCCTCTTTTTCCACTCCCTTAGCTCCCTTGGTTGAGAAGAAGGGACAGGCGCTGGCAGAAGGAAGGCCTGACCAGTGACTCCCTTTCCCGAGGTGTCACCCAGTATGGTCCGCACCTCCCTCATGATGCCCCTGATTCACAGCACAAGTTTCCAAGCCCTTGTTCAGAACTGTGGGTGCACTGAACACACAAATACATATTTTGTTAACAAGTGCATTATAATTATATTGTGTTCTTAATACGCAATTATTAGTTCCTTGGTTTATTAGGCTAATGAATGGCTCAGGTCCAGGATATTTGAAGTACTGTACTCTTGTGTACAGTTTTGGGATCTTCTGGGGAGGCCTTGCTCTCTGTCCCACTATCTTCACTGGTGCATTTGGTTGGAAGACAGGAGATAAGTCCTTCTCAGTGGCTCCAGAGAGGCTAGAATTCTTGCTATCTTTCAACAAACAAGATTAAAAACCACCACCACCACCAACAGAGTCCACTGTTGTTTTTGTTGTGTGCCTTCAACTCATGTCCGACTTATGACAACCCTAAGGTGACCCTATCTTGGGGTTTTCTGGGGCTGAGAGGGTGTGACTTGCCCAAGGTCACTCAGCATGTTTCCATGGCCGAGCAGGGAATCGAACCCCAATCTCCAGAGTCCTAGTCCTATGCTCAAACCTCTACACCACACTGGCTCTCAATACAGTCTGTATTGGACAATACTTGACAGTTTTTGCATACCATTATTGTTTTCTTTGAGATTTATTGGTTTTAACATGGATGTCAAAAGCAATTTAAAAAACCAATGATACTACTAAGAAAGTCAAAAACTAGGCTTGCCAGATCAGGATGATCTCAGGCCCTGAGATTTCAGAGCCCAAACATGAGACCTCCAGATGACTCCTTGTGATGTCTCAGGAGATAGTTCCTGGGGATGCCATTAAGCCTGATATCTTAAGCATTGACCACAGCTGTGCAGAATACACTTTTCAAATAAAACACCCAGTCGAAGGAGGAAAAATATAAATGTGCACCCTTTTTCCCCAATGTACTCTTGCCGAGATTCCTCCTCCACTCCCGAGAACTGCAGGATTCAAACCCTGAGGTCTGGCAATCCTAAAAAAATCATATCCACGGTAGTGGGATCTTGGGCCCCTGAGCCCTAGTAATTTGTACCGGCCACCCCACCCCGGCCAGCCCTTATTACAACTCTTTTCTCATGAAGGACCATGTTACTGAGTTGTTAATTCTCTGCTCACCTCTTGCGCTTTGGAGGCTTGCCAGCTTTCTTCCCTGTTGCTTATGCACCTCTGATGGCAATGGCAGGTGGTTTTTCTCAGCCAAATGGGCTGGTTTCCAAATAAAACCATCTCCTTGTTCCCAAGGAAACATCTCATTCCATCCTTGCGATGTTTTAAGTGCCCTTTTTCTAGAGGTGGAAGTGATCTTTCTTGACAGCTTTCCGATCAGAAGTCTGACCTTTTCTGCCAGGTTTCAGCTGAATCTTGCCACTTGTCGGCAATGGAAATCTTCCGCGTTCTCTCTCTCTCTCTTGGGATTGTGTTGTCTGGGCTGTCCAAAATGGGAGATGTTTTCTCTTTTATTCTGTTTAATGCTTTTAGAAGATTGCACAAGCTATGAAGAGGGAAGCCTCAGTGGGCCAGCAAGGGCAAAACTGATCTGAAAAATTGAAAAAGGGCTTTGCTCTCCAATTCCAGAGCTACAGCTCTCTGAGTAAATTCTTTGTCTTGTGCCAAAGTGATGTGAGGGATTAAGTTTTTATATTGGGCGGGAGTGTGTTTGTGTGTGCAGAATTTCCCTTTATGTAGAGAAAATGCTTGCTTCTGGGCCTTATAATAGAACTTGCTAACTTTGGAGTCATGGGATCACAGTGGTTGCTCCATCTTGTCACCAGCAAAATATCTTGAAAAGCACATTTTGTGCACGTGACTTAAATTGCTTACAAAGGATAGTGGGGGGAGAGGAAGAGCAGCACCTTTAAGAATGAATGAATGAATGAATGATGCCTGAGCCATCATGGATTTCAGTCATCTTCTTCAGATGCACTGATGGAGTGCAATATTTCAGGTACAAGTATTCAGGCACAGTGATGTAGTGTGGTGGGGTGGGATCAAAATGTAATGGGATATAACCATTGTTGTTAGATGCCTTCAGGTTGACTCCAACTTATGGTGATCCTTTTCTTGGCAAGATGGATTCAGAAGAAGTTTGTCATTGCTTTTCCCTGAGGCTAAGAGAGTGTAACTTGCCCAAGATCATCTGGTGGGTTTCCATGGCTGAGTAGGGATTCAAACCATGGTCTACCAGAGTCCTAGGACGTTATCACACGGGGCTCAATCCAAACAGAATCCAAACGAAATGGTGAACGAATCTGGAATATTTGCCCGTGTTTCCACACGACGTCGCACAGAACCCTGACAGAACCCCGACAGAAAGTGGAAAGAACCGAGATCTTTTGAATTTCGGTTTCTTCAGGAATTGCAAATGCGCGACGGGAATCATTTCGCATTTACCGCAAATGTGATCGCCAAATATGTATTGGGGAGCATTTCCCCGTCATTACCCATGGTTCCCGCGAGCATTACTCTCTCTGCGCATGTGCAGGAGGCTCATTTCTGCTACATTTACAGTTTTTTTTCTCTTGTGTGTGGACGTTCAATGCAGTTGCTGTAAATTCACAATGAAGGTAATGACGTTTGTGGAAACAAGATTTATTTCCCGTTTATTTTCAGGATGCCTCATTTCCACTTTATTTTCAGTTTCTGGACCACGTGTGGTAACGTCCCTAGTCCAACACTAAGATCACGACACCACACTGGGCTCTTTTTAAATGGTTATGTGCCTACAAATTGAATACAGCTTATGGTAACCTTTGTTCTTGTTGTTGTGTGCTTCCAAGTCGTTTCCAACTTATGGAGACCCTAAAGCAAACCCATAATGGGGTTTTCTTGGCAGGTTTCTTCAGAGAGGGGTTGCCATTGCTATCCTCAGAGGATGATAGTGTGGCTTGCCCCAGGTCACCCAGTGGGTTTGGATGGCTGAGCTGGGATTCAAACCCTGGTCTCCACAGTCATAGTCCAACGCTCAAACCACCATACCACGCTGGCTCTCATCCTAGAGTTTTCGAGGCAAGATTTGTTCAGAGGGGGTTTGCCAATGACCTCTTCTAAGACTGAGAGAATGTGTCTTGCCCAAAGTCACCCAGTAGGTTTCCATGGCAGAACAAGGTTTGAACCCTGATCTCCTGGTGTCTAATTCCAAAATCCAAACCACTGCACTCTGTTGTTATGTACTTTTAAGTCAGCAGTTCCCAACCTTTACTATGCCCCACACCCCTAGGAAATTTTTGATTAAAATTTGCACCACCAACAAAAGAAATACCACATTTGAAGATGAAGAGGTCTGTTTTCTAATTTTGGAACCACAAATTGAACAATGTACAATACTGCCGGTGAACCAACTGAATTTTAAAAAGCATGCTTTTAACTCAGGGCATAAAATGCAAATCTAAATTGAGCAATTAGATTCTAATTTATTCAGAAAATAAAACAAGTAATGACTTGTGACTCCTCACTCAAGGACACAAGTCCTTTTTTATTGCAACCCCTGAAATTTCATCTCACATCCCCAGGAGTGCCGGCACCCCAGGTTGGGAACCCCTGCTTTACATCAACTCCAACTTATGGTTATCCTCTCCAAAGATTTTTTCCTGGCAAGATTTATTCAGGGAAAGTTTGCCATGGCCTTGAGGCTGAGAAAGTGTGAATTGCCCAAAATCATTCATTGGCTGAATGGAGATTTGAACCCTGGTCTCCCAGAGTCCAAGTCTTACACTGAAACCATTATACTACACTGGCTCTCAGTGGGATATAGAAGGATGCAAATTGTGACACTGACCATATACCTTCGAAGAATTGTGTAAGATGCTGCAACTCCATCAAGCTGCTGACCTGTTGATCTTGGGGTGTCAAAGCAAGACATTCTGCTTTCCAAAAGCCAGTTGCCATGAAGGCGGTGGACTTACCTTCTTTGGAGTTCTTTAAGCTGAGGTTGGTTGGCATTTCTCAGGAGTGTTTGAGTTGCGTATTCCTGCTTAGCAGGGGGTTGGATTAGATGGCCCTTGCGGTTCCTTCCACTTCTAAGAGTCTATGATTCTGTGAAGTACGATTGCTGAAACTGCATGCCTCGGCAAATAATAAACCTCTCCTCTTGAAGGATGGTTGGGTGCTGACAGTTTTGCCCTTTAGCATCTTGGCTGTGGACATGCACTCCTGCCAGGCAGTGTTCACTGAGCAGAGATAAGCGTGATTCAGCGGCAATCCGAAATTCTTCTTGAAGCTGTGCCCAAGCCGGCTCCGTCAGGCAAGGCCTCCTCTCAGGCAGCTCCTATGCTACTCCCAGCTGGAAAAGCCAAGAGAAGGAGTTAATTAATTGCAGACTGTAATTTGCCACAGAGGAGCAGTGGAGCATGTTGCTGCCTTCAAGCATTGCCGCAAAACCTTTGGGGAGCCCTGAGCAGCGTACAGGAAAAAATAAAGCTCGCTCCTTGCTTTTCATCTTCAAAGTGCTCGGCAACCATTTGATCATCACACAGTCTTCCCTGGAGGGGTCTGTAGAGCAAGGGTCTCGACTCCATACAGAAAAACTGAGTCCAAAATTGACAAGGAGAGGAGAGGAGAGTGCTGTACCCCACTCCATGTCTTTTGGGGTGATAGAACATGTCTAAGCTTTCTTGACTTTCAAAGGTAGTCTTATCTTTGAGGCCAGGGATAGTTCTTACTGTAACCCATCTTAACATTTCTTCCTTCATTCATCAATTTTGTAAGCTTTATGTGCTCCCCCCCACCCCCAAATCAATGCTCCATAAAACATTGTACAGAGGGTTCTTGCTATCCGCTGGGTTTTGGTTCCAGGACCCACTGTGGATACCCAAATCCATGGATACTTAAGTCCCATTAAATACAATGGCATAGGAAAATGGTCTTCCTTATATAAAATGGCAAAATCAAGGTTTCCTTTTTGCAATTAAAATAAAAGTTTTCAAGTTGTCGATGGCTGAATCCATGGATGCAGAATCCATGGATACGAAGGATCAGTTGTACAATAAAAAAGTCAGCATGGCATAGTGGTTTGAATGTTGGACCACAATTCTGGAGACCAGGATTCAATTCCCAGCTCAGCCATAGAAACCCACTGGGTGATGACCTTGTGCAAGTCACATGCTCTCAGCCTCTAGGAAAGGCAATGATAAACCTCCTCTGAACAAATCTTGCCAAGAAAACCTCATGATAGGTGCACCTTAGGGTCATCGTAAATTAGAAACGACTTGAAGGCACACAAGAACAACAAATTATGGCTGGATTATCCTATATGACGTATATGAAATTATCCTATATGACCTTTTATGTAATGTAATTTTGTATACCTAGCTAGGTAGGAGAGGTGGTAAAAGTTGCTCAGTTGTGAAGATGCATATTGGAACACCGCAAGAGGGCTCAATGAACACTGGTGCCCTCATTGGGGTTGATGCAATGAACATCAGGACTGATGTGATGTGAATCCAGGCCTCAGTCCTGTTACACATTGGGCACTTCATTGGCTTTGTTACATAGGAACATAACAGAAGTCGTCTATCAGATACGGATGATTTGCAAGGGTGCAATACCAATTCCCA